TGAGATGAAAATAATATGGGAAGCAACCATATCAATCCATATATCATCAAAGATTATCTAGGCAAGACATGAGAATAATCTCCAAAGCATGCACCAAATACAAGTCAAGCAAACTCACAATGAACAAAGGATCATGTGAAGTGTGTGTGATATAATATGATCATGAAATGAGGCCAAAAACACCTTGACCAACAATTTAAACATCTTAAATGAAACATGAAAATATCAATAAGCTTCAACTATCACATGTAAAGAAGTGTCAAAACAAGACTAACTCAAGAGGTAGTTAAATGAACACTCAAACAATGCTAAACTTGTAAAATCAACTAAAAATAGGAAAAAGGTTCAAAGATCATGAAACCAAATCAAGAAGAACCTCAAGGGATTATGTTATCATATTCCAAAATTTCACAAGCTATAATCAACCTTAACTGTTCCAAGGGATCAATAAGCTAGGCATATGGCTCAAACATGAGGAATTATCAACAACTCTCAAAGAGGCTTCCATAAACAATAACAAGACACTCAAATAAAATCCCAAAAAATAAGAAAACATAAGTTCAAATACATACTTAAGAAATTGCAAAATATGGTAAGAAGATAGGCTAAGGACAATTCCCAAAATGGTTGAATCATGCAAGCTATGCATCAAATCGGGAGTGAATCGAGGGTCAAAAAGTGAGAAATGGAAAGTCACCTTAGGTAACTCAAACCTAGCTTAAAACAACAACATATAACCCTCATTCAATGGTCTTAATATGACTAAAAAATTAGCCTCAAATGATGAGTATAAGTCACTCAAATCCTCAACCCTAATGCAAGGGTATCAATGGAAGTCCTCACTCAAATTAAATCTAAAATAAATGGAAAATAAATAGATAAAAAATAAATAAAATTATGAAAATTAGGATAGGACCTCAAATAATCAGAAAACGAAATTTTGGTATACTTTAAATGTGTGGAAGTATTTAAAATAAAATAAAATGAGAGAGTGAAAATAAAAGAAAAATAAAAATAAAATAAAATGAAAGGGGGTGTATCAGGAATTTCAGAATGAACTGAATCCAAACACATGCACGTTGGGCTCAGAAATGTGGTGGTAAGAAAAGTAAAAGGGTAAAAGCCCAAACCAAATCTGACTCATTCAACCAGCCACGCTAGCTTCATTAAATGACGTGGATCCCAGTGGCAATGAATCACACACATCAACAAATCATAACACAACCACTAAATTCATTTGAATTTGAAAAAAGAGCGCCACATAGAAATAATCTTCCTATCGAATTCCATTCTACTTTTCATAATTCAAATTATATAAATAAAAATAATAAGGATCGGTTACATATAATAAATATGAATTATTAATAATCGAAATAGATAAATAATAGAAATTGGAAGAATCCAAATATTCCAAAATGGAATTCAAAACTAAAAAAAAAGAGAATCTTACTATATGATATGGATGAAAATTATTTTGTATCCAATTCTTTTTTTATGGATCCAAAAATATTGGATAAATTATTAATTATTAGATAAATGGATAAAAAGAGTATTCTAGGTAATTGGTAATGAAAATAATTTGGATTCGTATTTTTAAATGATTCCGATTTGTATCATATTCTATATACTAGAATATCAAATAAATATGGGATATTCTATCTTTTTTTGTATTTATTTGATTATGTTATGATATAGTAATTGTGTTATGAAGAGCTAATATGAAATAGTTAATAACTAGGATCCCAGTAGTTTAGGAAAGAATTCTGATAAATGCACAATTTGTGTTCTGAGAGCCCGCTTAGCTCAGAGGTTAGAGCATCACATTTGTAATGCGAGGGTCATCGGTTCGATTCTGATAGTCGGCTTTTTTTATTTCTTTTTTATTTCTATATCGATAGAATAGAATTCCATTCGGATACTGATAGAATCCTTCTAATTCTTCTTTGTACTACAGTAGTACAATACTTTAATAGTACAATACTTGAAGTAGATTTCACTTCATTTATACTATCATATTTGTCATTTAGTTTAGTTTTGATTTTTCTTTATGAGATTTTCCATTTTAAAAAGGAGTGTTTATGTCACGTTACAGAGGGCCTCGTTTCAAAAAAATACTCCGTCTGGGGGCTTTACCAGGACTAACCAGAAAAGAGCTTCCAGTTAGAAGAGTTGGAAGCGAAGAATCGCTCTCCAGTAAAAAATCTCAATATCGTATTCGTTTAGAAGAAAAACAAAAATTGCATTTTCATTATGGTCTTACAGAACGACAATTGCTTAAATACGTTCGTATCGCTGGAAAAACGAAAGGGTCAACCGGCCAGGTTTTACTCCAATTACTAGAAATGCGCTTAGATAACATACTTTTTCGATTGGGTATGGCTGCGACTATTCCTGAAGCCCGTCAATTAGTTAACCACAAACATGTTTTAGTTAATGGTCGTATAGTAGATATACCAAGTTATCGTTGTAAACCTAAAGATATTATTACAGCCAAGGATGAACAAAAATCGAGAACTATAATTCAAAATTCTCTTAAATCAGCTCCCCGCAAAAGAGTGCCAACCCATTTGACTCTTCATCCATACCAATATAAAGGATTAGTCAATCAAATAATAGATAGTAAATGGGTTGGTTTGAAAATTAATGAATTGCTGGTTGTAGAATATTATTCTCGTCAGACTTAAACCTCGTTAAAATAACAAGAATTTTGATCCGAGTATTTTCCCCCCCCATTCGTGTATAGAAGTGGGTGTAGCAAAATTGTTATTCCTTGCCCACTTTATGCACAATTTTCTATATTACAGAAACAAATTAGGAATAGAGAATGCATATAAAAGTTGCAATAATTTTATCTATATATTATTTAAAACATTGACGTCAGTAACATTGATGAACTTGGTAAGGGTGCGGAAAGAGAGGGATTCGAACCCTCGGTAAACAAAAAGCCTACATAGCAGTTCAAATGCTACGCCTTGAACCACTCGGCCATCTCTCCTACATTATGATTATGTCCCTAAACCGAGTGAATAGTGAGGCATTTATATCCCATTTGCGTAAGCGCACACAATACAATCAATTGAAACAAAAAAAAAAAAAATTCTACTTCAACTTCAAAGCCTACCGTAGAATAAAGTAATTTGTTTAATAAGTCCATTTTTACGTTATTTCGTACTGTATTGTACAATTCCTTTGTTTGGGGAATTATTTTATCACGCGATAAAAAATGAAATTATAGAATGGATTGCTACCTATGACTAGATCTCGGATAAATGGAAATTTTATTGATAAGACCTTTACCATTGTAGCCAATATCTTATTACGAATAATTCCCACAACTTCTGGAGAAAAAGAGGCATTCACTTATTACAGAGATGGTGCGATTTGATTATTTTTTTTTTTTTTTACCGATCTCAGTCTTAGGAGAAAGATACATTCTTCAGAGATAAATAAAAAAAAACCGACGCTTGCTGAAGGTGAAGTTTGGAAATAAAACGATTAATCCCTTCTGTCGTGTATTCCCGATTAATGCAGCCTCAATATGCTTCAATTTTAGGTTTATAGTATTAAGCGAAAGGTTATACCTATATATACCTATTTATGGGGTTAGGTGAATCCTACTCCACTAGTACAAATAGGCGGCATGGGGGAAGAAGCACTACGCTAGGGAATCAACAACAGGAGAAAAATTTGTAAAAAAAATCCTTCCTTTCTTATCGGGATCGGGACTAACTAGAATGGTTGGGACAACAAACATCCATCTCGTTCGTATTTTGGATACCCATATAACCATCAAAGACTGTTGAAGTGACTAATTCCGGGAAATTAAGCGGCGTTGAGGACAAATAAATTGTTGAAGTTACGATTGATTTATCCAGTAATAACTTACTAAATGTTAATAAAAGATCCTTTACAGAAAGGTTGGCTAGAGATTTCGTGTAAAAACACTAGTCCCGCTCAGTTGATAATGAGAATATTGCAATCTTTTTTGATTCCATGGATGTTTCTCATTATCCACATAAAGGAGGAGCCGTATGAGATGACAATCTCACGTACGGTTCTGGAACGAAGATTCTTTGAACCGAATGACGACCGTAACGGATGTCGGCTCAATCTGAAGGAAATTATGCGGAAGCTTTACAGAATTATTATGAGGCGATGCGACTGGAAATTGATCCCTATGATCGAAGTTATATACTTTATAACATCGGCCTTATCCACACAAGTAACGGAGAACATACAAAAGCTTTGGAATACTATTTTCGGGCACTCGAACGAAACCCTTTCTTACCTCAAGCTTTTAACAATATGGCCGTGATCTGTCCTTACGTGCGACTATCTCCACTATAGAAAGAAAAAAGAAAAGAACCTCCACTAATAGTCATAAATACTAGATAAAAAAAATAGGCTTTCTACATATATATCGTTCGAAACAACGATTTTTATGAGCTGTAGCAAAGAAAGAAACTTCATATTCATAGAAGTAAAAATATGAAGAAATAGAATATATATATGCCTAGATACTTTTTTATATGGATAAAAGATCTAATTGATAAAGGAAGCACCGTAAAGATCAATTAACAAGGTTTTTGGCCGATACAACCAGAACTGCTTACTTATATGATGATAGATTCGAAATCAACTTATGTAATAAAGTTGATCCCCGAAGGTTTTGAGCAGCGGTGTAGTATCAGATCCCAAAGATAGTAAGTATTTTCTTATGAAGAAAAGTCTTTCTCACAGATTCTATAGAAATAGATATATTATATATGAAATGATATATGAACTCGAGATAGTTACCTTTGAGAAAATTCAAATAAGAGCGTTAGTATTAATGTCGATGCCTTCTTCTTCAGAAGGTAGGAGAAAAGATAAAACTAAAAACAAAGGATTCAATTGAATTATTAATCCAAATTCAAGTTTTAAACTCATGTAATTAACCTCTTTTCTTGTTATTAACTCCAGAAAAAATGGAAGATCAAAAGAATTGACTGTTGAGCCGTATGAGTCAGGAAACTCTCAAGTACGGTTCTAAGGGAAGGATTTTACTCCCCTATTCCGACCGCGGAGAACAGGCCATTCGACAGGGAGATTCTGAAATTGGAGAATCTTGGTTTGATCAAGCTGCTGAATATTGGAAACAAGCTATAGCCCTTACCCCTGGTAATTATATTGAGGCACAGAATTGGTTGAAGATCACAGGGCGTTTTGAATAAGAACAGTCTTTTTATTATTTTCTTTTTTTTATTCTAATTCAAATATTATTGTCTATATTTTATTCTCTAATAGAGAATAAAATATATAGAAAATCCATTATATATATTGAATTTTTGATAGCTTATTGTCCCCATCAATCAAATAAAAGGGTCCGTTGAGCGCCTCACTGCTATGTCATAATGGATCCGAACACTTGCCCCGGATTCACTTCCGGATCCTAATTGTTCTAGTGAATAACTCAAGAAAATATGGAATAGATGGGAGATAGAAGAGAAATATATTCAATATAAACATTTCTCATAAGTTCACGAATTATGTTTTATGTTGGCGGGTCTCTTTGTATGTGTTGTCCGGAAAGAGGAGGACTCAATGATTATTCGTTCGCCGGAACCAAAAGTCAAAATTTTGGTAGATAGGGATCCCATAAAAATTTCTTTCGAGCAATGGGCAAAACCTGGTCATTTCTCAAGAACAATAGCTAAGGGACCTGATACTACTACTTGGATCTGGAACCTACATGCTGATGCTCATGATTTCGATAGCCATACTAGTGATTTAGAGGAGATTTCCCGAAAAGTATTTAGTGCTCATTTCGGTCAACTCTCCATTATCTTTCTTTGGCTGAGTGGCATGTATTTCCATGGTGCTCGTTTTTCAAATTATGAAGCATGGCTAAATGATCCTACTCACATTCAACCTAGTGCCCAGGTGGTTTGGCCAATAGTAGGCCAAGAAATATTGAATGGTGATGTAGGGGGAGGTTTCCGGGGAATACAAATAACCTCCGGTTTTTTTCAGATTTGGCGAGCATTTGGAATAACTAGTGAATTACAACTCTATTGTACTGCAATCGGTGCGTTGGTCTTTGCAGCCTTAATGCTTTTTGTTGGTTGGTTTCATTATCACAAAGCTGCTCCAAAATTGGCTTGGTTTCAAGATGTAAAATCCATGTTGAATCACCATTTGGCAGGTTTACTAGGACTTGGGTCTCTTTCTTGGGCGGGGCATCAAGTACATGTATCTTTACCAATTAACCAATTTCTAAATGCTGGAGTAGATCCCAAAGAGATCCCACTTCCTCATGAATTTATCTTGAATCGGGATCTTTTGGCTCAACTTTATCCAAGTTTTGATGAGGGAGCAACCCCATTTTTTACCTTGAATTGGTCAAAATATGCGGACTTTCTTACTTTTTGTGGAGGATTAGACCCACTAACTGGTGGTCTATGGCTTACTGATATTGCACATCATCATTTAGCTATTGCAATTCTTTTTCTCATTGCGGGTCATATGTATAGAACTAACTGGGGTATTGGTCATGGTATAAAAGATATTTTAGAAGCCCATAAAGGTCCATTTACAGGCCAGGGTCATAAAGGGCTATATGAGATCCTAACAACGTCATGGCATGCTCAATTATCTATTAACCTAGATATGTTAGGCTCTTTGACCATTATTGTAGCTCACCATATGTATGATATGCCTCCTTATCCATATCTAGCTACTGATTATGGTACACAACTGTCATTGTTCACACATCACATGTGGATTAGGGGCTTTCTCATAGTTGGTGCTGCTGCACATGCAACCATTTTTATGGTAAGAGACTATGATCCAACTACTCGATACAACGATCTATTAGATCGTGTTCTTAGACATCGTGATGCAATTATATCACATCTCAACTGGGTGTGTATATTTTTAGGTTTTCACAGTTTTGGGTTGTATATTCATAATGATACCATGAGTGCTTTAGGGCGCCCTCAAAATATGTTTTCAGATACCGCTATACAATTACAACCTGTCTTTGCTCAATGGATACAAAATACCCATGCTTTAGCACCTGGCACAACAGCCCCTGGTGCAACAACAAGCACCAGTTTGACTTGGGGCGGTGGTGATTTAGTGGCAGTGGGCGGCAAAGTAGCTTTGTTACCTATTCCATTAGGAACCGCAGATTTTTTGGTACATCACATTCATGCATTTACAATTCATGTGACGGTATTGATACTCCTAAAAGGTGTTCTATTTGCTCGTAGCTCACGCTTGATACCGGATAAAGCAAATCTTGGTTTTCGGTTCCCTTGTGATGGCCCGGGAAGAGGGGGGACATGCCAAGTATCCGCTTGGGATCATGTCTTCCTAGGATTATTTTGGATGTACAATGCAATTTCTGTAGTAATATTCCATTTCAGTTGGAAAATGCAATCAGATGTTTGGGGAAGTATAAATGATCAAGGAGTAATAACTCATATCACAGGAGGAAACTTTGCGCAGAGTTCGATTACCATTAATGGGTGGCTTCGCGATTTCTTATGGGCGCAGGCATCCCAGGTAATTCAGTCTTATGGTTCCTCATTATCTGCATATGGTCTTTTTTTCTTAGGCGCCCATTTTGTATGGGCTTTTAGTTTAATGTTTCTATTCAGCGGGCGTGGTTATTGGCAAGAACTTATTGAATCCATCGTTTGGGCTCATAATAAATTAAAAGTTGCTCCTGCTACTCAGCCTAGAGCCTTAAGCATTGTACAGGGACGTGCTGTAGGAGTAACACATTACCTTCTGGGTGGAATTGCCACAACGTGGGCATTCTTCTTAGCAAGAATTATTGCAGTAGGATAATGGCTAGGAGGATTTGAAAAGCATTATGGCATTAAGATTTCCAAGGTTTAGCCAAGGCTTAGTCCAGGACCCCACTACTCGTCGTATTTGGTTTGGTATTGCTACCGCACATGACTTCGAGAGTCATGATGATATTACTGAGGAACGTCTTTATCAGAATATTTTTGCTTCTCATTTCGGACAATTAGCAATCATTTTTCTGTGGACTTCCGGGAATCTCTTCCATGTAGCTTGGCAAGGAAATTTTGAGGCATGGGTACAGGATCCTTTACATGTAAGACCTATTGCTCATGCAATTTGGGATCCCCATTTTGGTCAACCGGCTGTAGAAGCTTTTACGCGAGGGGGTGCGCTTGGCCCAGTGAATATTGCCTATTCCGGTGTTTATCAGTGGTGGTATACAATTGGTTTATGTACTAATGAGGATCTTTATACTGGAGCTATTTTTCTATTATTTCTTTCTTTCATATCCTTATTAGCGGGCTGGTTACACCTACAACCGAAATGGAAACCGAGCGTTTCGTGGTTTAAAAATGCCGAATCCCGCCTCAATCATCATTTGTCCGGACTATTTGGAGTCAGTTCCTTAGCTTGGGCAGGGCATTTAGTCCATGTGGCTATTCCAGGATCCAGAGGAGAATATGTTCGATGGAATTCACAGTAGCAGGATCGCTATAATTGACTCCATTGAGTTCGCCACCATAGAATTCAATAATTACACCTACTTGTTCGACACTATACTTCGATTCTGCCCTTCGAAAAGGAACATCTGCTCTAACAATTCCGTCTCCGTCTACCAAAACAACCGGAAAAGTTTCAAAAAAGGTAGGCATACGACGTACAAAAAGTTCATGCCCCTCTTTGTCTCTAAAGATAGGATGCCCTAACCAACCAACCGCTATTCCATCTCCATTGTCCATTGAGCCCGCTCTAAACAAACCCCCTTTTGCCGGATTATTACCGATGTAATCATAAAAAGCTAATTTTTCAGGAATTTTAGACCAAGCTTCTGATAAACTTTGATTTTCGACTAGCCCACTACCAACTCTTCGATATATTTCTTGCTGGAAGTATCCCTGATCCCATTGATAACGAGTAGGACCAAATAATTCAATCGGGGTAGTTGTTGAACCATACCACATAGTTCCAGCAACAACAAAAGCTGCAAAAAATACAACAACGATACTACTGGAAAGGACGGTTTCAATATTTCCCATACGCAATCCTTTGTATAAACGTTGAGGTGGACGCACACTAAGATAGAAAAGACCCGCTAATATGCCCAATGTCCCTGCTGCAATATGATGAGAGGCTATTCCCCCCGGAACAAAAGGATCAAAACCGTCCACACCCCATGCGGGATTTACAAATTGTACCCTTCCTGTTAGTCCATAAGGATCGGATACCCATATTCCAGGACCAAACAATCCTGTTACATGAAAGGCGCCAAAACCAAAACACGCCACCCCTGCAAGAAATAAATGAATTCCAAATATTTTTGGCAAATCCAAAGAAGGTTTTACAGTACGTTCATCACAAAAGATTTCTAGATCCCAATAGACCCAATGCCAAATAGCCGCCAAAAAGCACAAGCCCGAAAACACAATATGTGCCGCGGCCACACCTTCGTAACTCCAAATACCCGAATTTGTTATAGTGCCTCCTGTAATATTCCAACCACCCCATGAATTGGTTATTCCTAAACGAGTCATGAAGGGTATAACGAACATACCCTGTCTCCACATTGGGTCAAGAACAGGGTCAGAGGGATCAAAAACTGCTAATTCATATAGAGCCATCGAACCGGCCCAACCAGCAACCAGAGCTGTATGCATTATATGGACAGAAAGTAAACGGCCGGGATCATTTAATACAACGGTATGGACATGATACCAAGGCAAACCCATGAAAATACCCCTTATATTAACAAAAAATAGACACTATGTAACTTTATTGCACTGTAAAAAACTATGCTTGCTATAGACCCTCCCCTTAATTAGTATTAGTAAATTATCTCACATTAAAGAATTTATATTTGTTCGAGTTTTTTAGAAACAAAGGAGCATTCTATTCGTAGGAACAAAAAGAAGCAGATCTATTCTATATCCGATAAGTAACAATACACAATGGTGGTGGGGGTTTACTTTTTTTGATATGCGTGTTTATATCAGTGAATGCAGACAATGGATACTAATACAAGAACAACGAATCCTTTTTTTCTTCAAAATGAACATTCGTTGTTCTTATATTAGACACAAAAAGTCTACGTATGGGTCTTTCTTGGTTTCATTACAAAGATAGAGCTTTATATATATAAAATATAAAAATATATATATATATATATATATATATATATATATATATATATATATATATA